TGGATGCTGCTCGGGGGCCGCCTCCTCACCGGCCTGGCCTGCGGCGTCGCCTCGCTGGTGGCCCCGGTGAGTGTCTCTCGGCCTGCGGGCTCCTGAGGGCCGACACAATCCCCCTGCTAGCTTCACCACGCCCTAGGAAGGAGCCACTGTTGCTACCTCCGCTTTCCAGATGAAACAGCCTCAGAAAGGTGAAGACCTTTGCCCAGGCAGAGGCCACAGCTAGTGAGCAGGACTGTCCCCCGAACCCTCTGGGCTCTACAAACAGGTCCCTGATTCCTGATTACTGGACAGTTGGCAGGAAAATCCTGTTCTGGTTTGTCCCTGGTGTGGGGCTTCTGGGTTCCCCGTGGCCCCGCCCCGCCAGCCCCCTCCCCTTGTCCTGAGCCGGCGCTGCTCAACTGAAGCCCACACACCGACTTCCTTGAGCAGAGCTCTGCTCTGGGCCTCGGCTTGCTCCCGTGTCAGTGGGGACCAAGGCATTGCTCCTCTGCTGCCTGCAAGGTTTGGTGACACTGCACACACAGCGCCTGGCCCTTGCAGGGTCTGGGGAAGGATTGTTTGGTGACCAGCCACCTGCCGCTGGCCACAGGCATGGACCGCTGCCCAGCCACCCGTCACCCTGCTGAGGGTTGAAAGAAGCCTCTCAGGCCCCTCCCTCGGAACCCCACTGCTCATTTCACCCACATCTGCTAGGACGAAAAAGCTGTGGGTTTTGTTTTTTATTTTTATTTTTTTTCTTTTTAAACCAGGGAAACAAACATGTCTTAGTCATGGGCATAAGGTATGGAATGACCTAGAGGTGTGGGTGATGGCCTGGTGGCCCCCACAGTGGTTGAGGTAAGGGCATCTCGCCTTACAGCAGCCTGGGCGGCTGCAGGAGTTGGTTATCAAGGCAGGAGCTTGGGCCCCGCCCCAGACCTATTGCCTCCGCGTGTGCTTCGTCACAGGTACCCACGCACAGTGAGTGACTGTTGGAAGCTCTGCACTCCACTCCCTCCATCGTACATGCACAGCAGCCACGCATTACCCTTAGTCCCTTTAAACACCTGCCCCGATCACCTGGCCTGGGGATGCGCTGCTCAGCGAAGGCAGTACAGACTCCTCAGCTCAGAAAGGCCGACAAGGGCTTTCAGGTTTAAGAACACCTGGACCTCATTAAAGTCCCATCTTATATTTATTTTATTTTGGGTTTTCTTTTTTTTTTGAGACAGGGTCTCACTATGTAGTTGAGACTGACCTGGAACTCACTGTGTGGCCCAGGTTGGTCTCCAACTCACAGCGATCCTCCTGTCTCAGCCTCCCAAGTGCTGGGATTATAAAGTCACATCTTAATTGCCGGCAGGTCTATATCTCTGAAATTGCCTACCCTGCAGTCCGGGGACTGCTCGGCTCCTGTGTGCAGCTGATGGTCGTCATAGGCATCCTCTTGGCCTACCTGGCAGGTAGGATTTGCGTGGTCTCTTTTGGCCCCTGTTAATGGCTATGTGGCCATTTTATAGGTGTAGAAACTGAGGTTCATGAGGTCATTGGCTTACCTGAGATCACACAACCAGTCGATGGCCAAGGTACCAAGCCCCAGACCACTCTCTGGGACCTTAGGGTGTGTAGGTCTTGTGACTGAGTCCCAGAGAGAGCCGGAGGAGGGCATCCCAAAGCCCACTCCCATGGTGTGCAGAAGTCTTCAGCCCAGGAGCTCAAAGAGCTGAGTGAGTCTCCCACAGAATATCACTGCTGGATTCATGGAGAGCAAAGAACCAGGTAAAAGAAGCCAGTTCCCTGAGGCAGAGCTGAGGCTTGGCCAGCCTTCAGGAATTGACGTGATCTTATTAGAAATGGAGTGGAACTGGGCGTAGTGGCACATGCCTGTAATCCCAGCACTCGGGAGGCTGAGGCAGGAGGATCGCTGTGAGTTCAAGACTGACCTGGGCTACATAGTGAGTTCCAGGTCAGTCTCAACTACATAGTGAGACCCTGTCTCAAAAAAACAAAAAAAAAAGAAAAGAAATGGAGTGGAAAGAGTGTGGGCTTCACACCTGACAGTTCCAAGTTTGGAATGGCCTTTGCCACCTGCTGTGTGATCTTGGCCAAGTCTCGCTGACCTGGGAACCTCAGTTTCCTTGGCTTGAACTAGAGATGACCTCACCTAGTGCGAGCTGTTGGGAGAGTAGATTGAATGACACCGGAAAAGTACTGGTAGCAGGTCCCAAATGAGAATTGTCAAGGGATGGCTTGAGAGTCAAGGGGGCGTGAGGCATTCAGGGCCTGACGGGCTGTGGCCCAGCTGGGTGCCTGTCCTCTGGGTGACATGAAGCTCTCTGGCCTTTCGTCCTTCACCAAATTACCATCCCGGCTCAAAGTGCTGCCGGAAGTCTGGCTGCCTCGGAAGCCCTGCCTGAGCCTGAGCCCCCACTGGGGCAGGTGTGGACGTCTGTGGTTTGAGGGATGGAAATTTAGCTGCCCGCCCACCTACAGCACCTGCAGGTCGCCTTCATCTGCGCTTGCTGCTGCTTTCCAGTGATGAGTTTCTGAGTTTTGTTCCATTGGTATAAGTGAACCCCGTCACCCACAGGAAAGTGGGGACACGTTTGCTTGCATTGGGAGCAGTAATGCCTCAATAACTGGACTTTGTGGAGCCTATGACTGACTCGTCATAAAACAAGTTAAAAAATTAAGAATATAAAACAAGTATGTACGCAAAAATCCCACACCTCACCTTGTCCCCCAGCACAGAAGAAAAACAAGCACCTCATGGCTCTCACCGAGCTATTTTCCACAGGAAGTGGGGACAGGTAAGCCCTATGGGTTAGGAAAAATTAAAAACTAGAGGCAGTACCCCGAGTTCATTTACTCTTGGGCCCCTTTGTCAGAGAACCCTTTGGCTTTGTGTAAGTCCAGATAACTCCACATTTATACTGCTCCTCCTTTATCTCCAAGATACCAGAACCCCACCACATCCTTCATTTCATTTATACTTTTAATAACCCAGTGAAGGGCCGGGGATTTAGCTCAGTGGCACCAGGCCTGCCTTGCAAGCGCAAGGTCCTGAGCTCGGTCCCCGGTACCAAATAAATAAATAAACAACCCACTGAAACAGGCCTAGAGGGGAGACCGTGCCCTTCGAAAAATCCCTCCACTCCACCCTGGTCCTCCCTGGAAGAACCAGCTGGCCCGTGTCTTGGAGGCCTCCAGAGGCTGCATACGCATGAGAAATGCACACATCTACCCCTCACGCAGCCCTGCTGTGTCGCTCCATGCCAGTGCCATGGGACCGGTTCCGAGTCCTTTGTCTCATGGCTGCTTAAGAGTCATGTGGTGCATAGCAGGAACACGTTATTTATTTGCTTTGCGGTACCAACAACCCTCATGCTACATAAGCACTCTACCACTGAACTGCCTCCCCAACCCTTTTTAAAATGTCTCAGTAAATTGCCCAGGTTGGCCTTAAACTCAAAATCCTCTTGTCTCAGCTTCCCAAGTAGTTGGGATTATAGGTGTGTGCCACCCTATCTGGCTAATAATTTTTTTATAAGGTGTACACTCTAAAATGTTATTTTAAATATATAAATAGCAAGCACATTGACCAATAGCAGTCATTTCTTATGAGCAAAGTCTTACGTGTTGTACATAGCTGCACGTGTTGGGCTGTTACACAACTGGCAGTAGTTTGTTTACACCAGCGCCACCACAAATGCATAATGCAATTCAGCTTGACGTTACCGTGGCTATGACGCATCATGAGGCCACAGGAATTTTTCATCTGCTCCATTACGATCTTGTGAGACCACTGTTTCGTGGACCGAAACCTCGCAGTGTAGCACAGGACTGTGTGTCACTGACGGCCTGGTGATGGCGCTGATGTCCCAGCACCACTGCCACAGCAGCTGTAGCCACCTGCCCACTGTGTCTGTGTGATAGCCAGTAATGGTGGTGACGATCTCAGGAATGAACCACAGAGGTGGTGAGGGGACAGGCTGGCTCCCCAGCCCTGACTCTGTCCCTGCAGGCTGGGTCCTGGAGTGGCGCTGGCTGGCGGTGCTGGGCTGCGGGCCTCCGACCCTCATGCTGCTGCTCATGTGTGGCATGCCCGAGACTCCGCGCTTCCTCCTGACTCGGCACAAGCGCCAGGAGGCCGAGGCTGCCGTGCGCTTCCTGTGGGGCTCTGAGGAGGGCTGGGAAGAGCCCCTCATCGGGGCTGAGCACCAGGTGAGCGACTGGGAGCCAGAGCTGGGGGCCAGGAGGGGTGAGGCCCAGGAGGGTGTCGAAGCCACATCTGGGTGGGCGGGGGCACCCGCAGTGTCATCCCTGCTGTCCTGTCCCAGCAGGAAGGGGGAGGATACCTGGCAAGCCTGAGCCTGATTCCTATCATCCCACCCTGGGCAGAGGCCATATACATGCAGCCTGGAGATGTAACCAGGGGACTGCAGAACAGGGAGGGTAAGAGTGGATTGTGGAGCCGGGCACAGTGGCACATGCCTATGATCCCAGCCCTCAGGTGGCTGAGGCAGGTGGATCATCACTGACTTTGAGGCCAGCCTGGTCTACATAGTGAGTTCAAGGCCAACCTGGACTTCACAGTGAGGCCTTATCTCAAGAAAAAACAAAAAGTCTGGATGTGGAGTCAGACTGCACTCCCTGGCTCTGTGAAGCCTTAGGTTCTTCTGTAGACCGGGGGTGGGCGGGATGTGGGGAGGGCGTCGAGTTCACGCCTGTGGCGGTGCCGAGAGGCCCAGGGGAGGTACTTGGCCAGGGCCTGGGCCAAGGTGAGCACTGGGTGCGTTGAAGGTAACTGGGACTCCGAGAACAGGGTTCTTTGAGTGCTGGAACCTCTTTGTGGGGAGAAGACCATCCACATGCCTGAGGACAGGGCCCTGGAGCCAGGGTGGGGAGCCTGATACTTGTCTTCCTGTCCCCCTGGAGCAGGGCTTCCAGCTGGCCCTGCTGCGGTACCCAGGCATCTACAAGCCCTTCATCATCGGTGTTTCCCTGATGGCCTTCCAGCAGCTGTCTGGGGTCAACGCCATTATGTTCTATGCGGAAACCATCTTTGAGAAGGCCAAGTTCAAGGTAAGAGGCCCCTGCCCGACCTGCCTCATCCAGTGCCGCCTCCTGGAGCCCAGGGCGCAGTCACCCAGCACAGGAGCAGAGAATTCAGGACGCGTCTCCGGGTGGCCCGCTGAGCAGTCTCGCCCCGTGTCCTCCAGGACAGCAGCCTGGCCTCGGTCGTCGTGGGCGCCATCCAGGTGCTGTTCACAGGCATAGCAGCCCTCATCATGGACAGAGCGGGGCGGAGGCTGCTCCTGGCCTTGTCAGGTGAGAGGCACGGGCTTAGCCCTGTGCCCCAGGTGCCCCATGGCAGAGGCCACCGGCCTCCATGAAGACAGCTGGGCATTCATGAGGACCAGGGTCACAGACTGACGAGGCTGGGGCCTAACAGCATCTCTTTGTTGAGCTACAAGAAGGGCTGTCAGGGCTCCAGCTCCCAGGAGGAAACAGATCTGAGAGGCTCAGAAGTTTGTGTTCCTTTTCTGCAAGTGACTTCCCCTCTCTCAGGCTCAGTTTTCCCCTCGGAAGTGGGGACATGACAGCAGCTCTCTTGGGACTGCAGTGGGGACTGGGAGGTGATCTGCCAGTGGATCACAAGAGCCTCAGCCTGGTCACTGTGGGGTCGGGTGGGCTGGGGTTGCCGCTCCTGTCCCTCTGACAGGGGTAGAAGGGGGGCTGCTCAGAAGCTTCCCCGGTGGCGGAGGCCTGAGGCCCGGTGTGGGTGGCAGGAAGCTACCCGGTCCAGAGTCCCGTAGCCAGTGCCAGAAGGCCTAGCCCGCTGTGCTTGAGGAGCCAGGCCTGCCTCTCAGAGGTACCAGGCCTCACCGCTGGGGCCCGCTGCCCCGTGCCCAGCCCACCGCACCCCGCCCGCAGGTGTGGTCATGGTGTTCAGCACCATCGCCTTGGGCACCTACTTCAAGCTGATGGGGAGCAGCTCCAGCAACTCCTCCCACGTGGACCTCTTGGCACCCGTCTCAACGGAACCTGCGGAAGCCAGTGTGGGGCTGGCCTGGCTCGCTGTGGGCAGCATGTGCCTGTTCATCGCCGGTGAGAGGGGGCCCCAGGAGGCTGGGTGAGGGCCCCTGTCCCTATCAGTCACCATGCCCTGCACTGTGGGGTCCCACCCAGCCTCCCCCCTCTGCTCCGCTCATAGCGGCCTCTGGGTTTACAGTACTGAGCCCGTGCCGGGCACGCGCCAAGCCCTCGTGTGTCCCTTTCACCACTATTCTTGACCCAGACATAAGGCCGGTGCGTCCTAGCAGGAAGGCACAGAGCTGATGGGACCAGGAATCCAGGACCCTTTGTCCCGCTGGTAGGGTAGCTGAGTCCCCTGGGCTCTGTGACCACAGGCCCTGCCTGACATAGTCTTGGTCTGCAGGCTTCGCGCTGGGCTGGGGGCCCATCCCCTGGCTGCTCATGTCCGAGATCTTCCCTCTGCATGTCAAGGGTGTGGCTACTGGCGTCTGCGTCCTCACTAACTGGCTCATGGCCTTTCTGGTGACAAAAGAGTTCAGCAGCCTCATGGTGAGTGCAGCCCATGGCCTCCCGTGCAGACTGAGGCCCCACAGGCCTGGGATGCCAGCGTCCGAAGGGGTGAAGGGGGTCGGGGGAAGACGAGCACCCTAGGCGGTGACCCTTCTGGCGTCTTCAGTCTGTCTCCTGGGAGCAGCACAGGGCTGGCTTCCCCCATCAGTGGACATCAGGAACACAGGCCAGGATCCTCAGTCTGTGTAGGCCGCAGCCCCACCCCAGCCGCCTCCTTGCTGTGTGTGACTGAACCTCTGAGCCAGCCTCCTTGGCTGGAAGCAGAAGGCAGGAGCCGTACCTTAGGGTTGGTGGGAACATGGATTCAGTGGGTCATTCTGCTGTTTCCTGTGGCCACTTCCGGGCCAACAGGGTGTTCCTGGACCAGATGTGCAGGGTTCATCCACAGCGTGTCCAGGCCAGTGGTGACAGGTGGACAGCATCCCTTTTACAGCAAGGGCCAGGAAGGCGATGGGCTGTGGTGGGAGCCAAGTCGGTGGAAGGCCTGGAGTCTGGAGCCTGGGACCTGCCTGGGCTGGGAGGGATGGACAGCAAAGGAGGACGGAAAGAAGCCAAGAAGGAGGTGACAAAGGGCTTAATATGAGCCAGGGACATGCCCAGTCCAGGAGGCCGCAAGAAGAGCTTCCGGTTCCGAAGGAGGTGGAGCTGAGCAGGGCCAGGCCTTTGGCCTGGCTGCTGGAGGGTAACAGGCTCTGGCTGAAGGGCTGCTCATGGCTCCCTCTGTGCCACTGGGCCCTGAGTGCCCCCAGATGCTCCTGAGCCGAACCCTCTGCCCGTACGAGCACCCAGCAGCTCACCCAGCCCCATGACACTGTGAGGAGAGAACTCTGGAGTGGGGTTGTAGGAGGGGCGGGGGTGTGCGGGCGCTGGGGTTCCCAGGAGCAGGTGCCCCACATTACTTGATGGCATGTCTGACCTTAGGGTGGTCACATCCTCAACATGAGCCTCAGTCTCCCCGGCCCTACAACGTGGCTTGTGCTTGGCCAGGCAGCCATACAGGGCGCCAGGCTGGGATCGGGGGGCTGCCCAGTGGCATGGGGACCCCCTGTTCTGTGCCCCACGCCGACTTGGGCTGTCCCCTGTGCAGGACGTCCTGAAGCCCTGCGGTGCCTTCTGGCTCGCCTCTGCCTTCTGCATCTGCAGTGTCCTCTTCACCTTGTTCTGCGTCCCCGAAACCAAAGGGAAGACTCTGGAGCAGGTCGCAGCCCACTTCGAGGGGCGATGACAGCCCTCTACGCCTGGTGCGGCTCCCAGCCGGGCGTGATGTGGCGTGGGCCTCAGGTGGAGCCCGGGCAGCGGGGAGCGGGGCCACAGCCCCTTGTGCTGGGCCTCCAGGGCGATTTTTCTGCCCACCCTGCCACCTTGGGGACTCAGAACACGGCTAAGGCGCCTATAGCCCTGAGGGCAGCCCTCTGCACAGTCTCCTTCATACCACTGAAGAGGCCAAAGAGGAGCAGGCCGAAGCTTCTGGAAATTAGGGCTGGACACCTGCCCACAGCTCTCGTGGGGCTGCCTTATCAGGAAGGACCTTGTGGAATAAAGATTTGACTTAGAGATCCGGTCACGGCCTTTCTGTGCAAGCTCCATTTGAAACAGGGGTGTTACCAACCCTTCTAAAAAGCAGCCCCCACCCCTGGGCCCTGCCCCGAGCAGCCTGTGAGTTCCCCCTCTGGAATCCACACAAGCCTGGGCACTTGGAGGCAGATCTGGCTCCTTTCTTGGGCTCAGTTTTCTTAATCTTCAGCCATCAAGCCTGTTGATTTCCAAAAAAAATAAAAAGCCTCTTTCCTTTGACCTCAATGGAGCCAGGCTTTTACAAATTACTTTTTATCATTCCTTATCTAAGTAATACTTCTATTATTGAAGGGAAATTAGGAAACATATTTAATAAGAGTTACTTTTATAGCAATTAACCATCTGCTAGGTACTGCCTTAATTAAGCACTTTACAAATATTCGATCATTTACTGGGATAAATAATAATTATTCCCAGCCAGCCCTCTGCAGAGATAACGTCTTGAGGTTTAGGCTCCAGCTCTGAAGTCCTCTCCTAACATCTGTGCCCTCTGGTGTTGCTAAGTGGGATGAGGGCTGCTCTTCCCATGGCACCACTGGGCATCTCCCGTCCAGTCTAAGGAGCCCCAAGGGCGGGAGGGGGCTGCGGGAGGCATCGAGGCAGTGCAGAGCCGTGGGAGGGGAGGACCCCAGGTCTCTAGAAGGTGCCCTGGCAGGGGTCCAGTTTCAGTGCCAAGTGCAAAGCCGTGTGTGGAACCATGGACAGCTCTCGGCTGCAGTGGGGTTTCCCAGAAGGGGTCGGTCACGGTCACATGTGGTCGGGAGCATCTTCTGAGTCTGTAATTGCATCCTTAATGCCTGGGCAGTGCTCAGGGACTGGGCTGAGAGCTGTGCTGCTTTCTGTATCTCAGTGTGGTAATAGCAGTACAGGCTGACCATTCCTAACCTGAAAATGCACTGAAATCCAAAATTTTGGGGGTATTCCTGTTGGTGGGACAAAATACTAGACATCCACAAGTCAAAGGAGGTAAGGTTTGTTTTAGCTCATAGTTTGTAGAGGTTTCATAGTCTGCCAGCTCCAAGACAGGGCAGCATGGCAGAAGGGCATGGCTGAGGAGAAACAGTCTATAGCGTGGCAGGCAGGAAGCAGCAAGCAGCCTCCCTTTCCCTTTTATTCCACTCAGGCTACAAGCCTATTGCTTGGTGCCACCCACACCCAGGGTGGGGCTTCCCATTATCCACACCCAGAACTATGCTGAACCAATCAGTGGACTAATTTAGTTATCACACCCTTAGTCCATATTCACACACTGTATATTCAGCCACCTCCAAAAAGCCCCACCTATGAGTCCATGAGGCTTTGGGGAGACATCTAGACACCAGCCATAACAGAGCACCAACATGACACCCAGAAACAGTTTGAGTTTTAGCCTCTGCATGGTGACGCACACCTGTGATCCCAGCTACTTGGATGAAAGACTGAGGCACCCAGGGGATCCAAAGTCCAAAGCCAGCATGGGCAATTTAGCAAGGCCCTGTCGCAAAGTAAAAAATACAAAGGTCTGGGGAGGTAGGTATGCTATGACTTCACAGGTGTGAGGCCCTGGGTTCTCTATGCAGTCATTGGAGCTCTTTGAGTTTTGGATGTTCAGATTAGGAATCCTCAACTGTAAAGTCTGTGCGCTTACTCCAAAAGCCAAAAGACTAAATTTGAAAGACCCGGTCCCAATCACTTCAGAAAAGGGATGCTCATCCCAGAGCAGAGAATCACCAGCAGAGTGCTTTGCCTTGTCTTGTCTTCCAGCACTGGGGGCTGATCCCAGGGCCTTGTGCATGCTGAGCAAGTGCTCTCTCATTGAGCTACATCCCCAGCCCCTGGTGGCTGGTAATTAGATTTGTATGTGCTTGTTGTAAATGATTAAACAGCAAAGATAAAATACAAAGTGAAAATGTTCCAAATGGCCCAGTCCCAAAGTGCGTGCAGTAGTGCTTGCTATGTGCCATTTATTTCATTCTGAAACTGTGGCTGTCATGTGACAGGATCTTCATTGAGTGCTTGTCCACTTTCTCCTCCATTCCTCCCTCTCCCCCACCACACACACACACACACACACACACACACACACACACCTATACCTACCACCAAATAGAGTGCCAGATAAAAATAAGGCTGTGATTTGTTTGAGCTCCAAATTGACAGTATGGATTCTAATATCCAATTTTTTTTTTAAAGACAGGGTCTCGCTATGTAATTCAAGATGGCCTTGAACTCACTGTGTATAGCCCAGGCTGACTTTGAACTCAACGAAATACTCCTATCTCAGCTTCCCAAGTGCCACGATTACAGATGTGTACCATCATGCCCTGCTCCCTTTTTTTGGGCGGGGGGTACCAGGAATCAAACTCAGAACCTTGTGCCTGCAAGGCAGGCGTAGTGTAACTGAGCTAAATTCCCAACTCCATCCCTAATCTTTTAAAATAAGATTTAATTTAAAAAACACTTTAGGGGCTGGGGATTTAGCTCAGTGGTGCCACCGCCTGCCTCCCAAGCGCAAGGTCCCGAGTTCGATCCCTGGTACAAAAAAGAATTTTTTTTTAGAAACATTATTATAAAAGCAACACATATGTGTTTTTAAAAATCAAACTGATACTGAATAGACTTCATGCAAAATGAGTCACTTCACCCCAGGTCCATCCCCCAGGGGAACAACAGTTAAAGAGTTTCTCATTTTAGGCTAAGCATGGTGGGACACCATGTACTCGAATCCCAGCACGTGGGAGGCTGAGGCAGGAGAATTGCCATGAGTTTGAGGCCAACCTGAACTACATAGCAAGACCCTGTCCAAAAAACAAAGCGAAAAACTACCTAATGCAATGTAAGCTGTGCAAGTAGTTGTGAAAATGACAAGGAAGAAAGTCTGTATGTGTGTAGTACAGGCATAATTTTTTTCAGATATGTTTGCTCCATGGCAGGTTGAATCCTCAGATGTATGACCATGGATACAGAAGTCTGACTACATTTCCCCGGCCTCAGTGGGGGCTTTAGGGAATGTGGGATGCACACAAAGGTAGTGATATAAAATGAGAGGACGTTGTTTTCACCGCCTGGCTGGGAGCGTTTCTAGATGGGCCCTGGCTGGCACCTCACCAACCGGAGCCTCATGCTGAAAGTGAACACAGACAGAAGCAGACGTGCGGGAGAGAGGGCAGGTTCACTGTGATATTTAAGAAGCATCGCATGGCACCTTACTCTTCTAGAGCTGAAGTGGAAGAATCCTTTGGTCTGATTTGTTTTGCTTTGTTTTGTTTGAGACTGTCTCACTATGTAGTTGAGGCTGACCTGGAACTCACTGTGTAGCCCAGGCTGGTCTTGAACTCACAGCGATCCTCCTGCCTCAGCCTCCCAAGTGCTGGGATTACAGGCATGTGCCACCACACCCGGCTTGGTCTGATTTTTTTAAAAACCCACTGATACACAGCTTTAAATTACTAATATAGCTGGGCATGGTGGTGCACCCACCCAGGAGGCAGGGGCAGGAGGATCACCACTAGTTGGAGGCCAGCCTGGACTACGTATTTTTTGTCTCAAAAGATAGTACTGTACCCCAGAGGGGCTGAGTACCCCCAGCCTCCCGCAGCCTGCAGCACTCAGCAGGGCAGTCCGCTCCTGCCTGAGAGCCAGAGCGCTGTGAACCTTCTGGGCCAGCACTGGAAAAGGCACAGCTATTTATTTTTATTTTACATATATATTGTCATGGTCTACTAATTCCCTGTTTCACTGAGAGTGACACTTACCTCAATAGTCAGCTCTTTATTATGTACTGGATAATTTTTTTTTCCTCATTGAGTTTATTGGTACATTTTAGGTATACAGTACAGGTACATTCATCATTGGGATCTTGTACCCTTACATGACATGTCTTGGTTCTCATTTTTTCCCTTTGTCCCTGCCCTCCTTTTGTACTGGATAATTTATTAAAATAACTTTTTATAATTTTTTTGTACCAGGGATCAAACTCAGGACCTTGTCGCTTCTGAGGCAGGTGTGGCACCACTGAGCTAAATCCCCAGTTTAACAGAACTTTTTTAAAGCTTTTTGAGCCTTGGAGGTTCCATATGAACTGGTTATTTTGTATAAAGTAAATTTTTTTTCTGGTACTCAGAATCGAACTCAGGACCTTGCATTTGCCAGACAGGAATGGCACCACTAAGCTGAATCCCTGGCCCATAAAGTACATTCTTAAACTTAAAAAAAAAAAGTAATATATAAAATACAAACCTTCAAGAATGGGGAAGGGAGCCAGGAGAAAGTCTGTATGTGTGTAGTACAGGCATAATTTTTTTCAGATATGTTTGCTCCATGGCAGGTTGAATCCTCAGATGTATGACCATGGATACAGAAGTCTGACTACATTTCCCCGGCCTCAGTGGGGGCTTTAGGGAATGTGGGATGCACACAAAGGTAGTGATATAAAATGAGAGGACGTTGTTTTCACCGCCTGGCTGGGAGCGTTTCTAGATGGGCCCTGGCTGGCACCTCACCAACCGGAGCCTCATGCTGAAAGTGAACACAGACAGAAGCAGACGTGCGGGAGAGAGGGCAGGTTCACTGTGATATTTAAGAAGCATCGCATGGCACCTTACTCTTCTAGAGCTGAAGTGGAAGAATCCTTTGGTCTGATTTGTTTTGCTTTGTTTTGTTTGAGACTGTCTCACTATGTAGTTGAGGCTGACCTGGAACTCACTGTGTAGCCCAGGCTGGTCTTGAACTCACAGCGATCCTCCTGCCTCAGCCTCCC